ATTTGGATATAGTTTTCAAGCACTGGTTAGATAGAGGCATAGCTGTTGTCAAGGATTTATACATCGATAACAGCTTTGCTTCCTTCATGCAACTCCAATCCAAATTTGGTCTTCCTTCTAGCCACTTTTTCAGGTACCTGCAAGTTCGCAATTTTGTCAGACAAAATTTCCCTCACTTTGAAACCATATCAGTGCAACATAGTTTCTTCGAGCTTATAAAAAAGCCCCCTACTTCTAGAAAGCTAATCTCTCACTTTGTTAATCTTTTCAGTACATCTTCTTCTACCAAACATATAAAAGAGGCCTGGGCTTCTGACACACTAGTCGAAATTTCAGATGAGATGTGGAATTTGAGTCTGTCAAGGATCAAAACATGTTCCATTAACTCCAGATTGCAACTTATTCAATCAAGGTTATCCATTGTTTACACTTTTCTAAAACCAAACTTAATAAGCTATTTCCTAATGTCTCTCCTATATGTGACAAATGTAAATTAGACAATGGGACTTTAGGTCATATGTTTTGCTCTTGCCCTATGCTTATGGACTTTTGGTTCAGAATATTCAAATTTTATAGTAACGCTTATGGCAAAGCTCTATATCCGGAAAACCATTTGATAATTCTGGGTTGCTCTAAATTCTCCGTTACTCTTCCCATGTCTCTGCAGCAGGCTCTGATGTTTGGTTTGAGGGTTGCAAAACGGGTTATTCTGAGGGAATGGAAATCCTCTACACCTCCATGCTTTAAAAAATGGCCCAATGATATGGTGTCCTGTATCTATCTCGAAGAAATTTGATACTCTTTGTCAGACAATCATGATAAGTTTCTAGATGTGTGGTGTCATTTTAGTAGACATATTCAAAATAATGGGTTAAAATGACTCTTTTCTGGACCTCTTTTTTTTATTATTTATTATCTCAATACTGTCATCCTTTATTGTACTCTTTTTATTGATATCCCATGTTTTATGTTGATCCGCTTGATACAATGTCTGCAGAATTATTTTTTGTCCTCTCTGACTCTGCCTCGTGCTCTATTAATATAATAATAATATATTATATTATATATTATTCTCTTATCAGTTCTTCAGTTTGCTGACACTGTTTTGTCTTGTTTTTTTTTTGTTGTTGTACTTGTTTACTGTTTTGCTGTATTTTATTTTTTCTCTTTTTTGTCTTGTCTGTTTAACTCTAAAAAAAATGCATAAATAAATAAAAAATAAAAATAAAAAAAAATGATATACCGTAAAAATGATCAACATTTTTTACATTTTGGGACAATATAAAGGGTAAATTTATATAGCTTTTTAAGCCAGAATTAATTTAATTTAAATTTAAATTTAATATGACTTCCCTACGACTTTAACAGGAAGCCAAAGATTGACTGAGGGAGTAACGAATGGGACCAAGAACCCTCAAATCTTTGGTGAAAACCCTGAAGATGGTCTTTGTTATCTGAACACACCTGTCAGCTGACAGAAGATTCCTAAAGTTAGCAATAGTCTCCATGTGTGGAGCTTTGTTTCTGCAAACATGAATAAAAATCTTATCTTGAAAGGAGTCAGTGTTCTACTTTAGGAACAAACTAAAATCATAAAGATGTTATTTATATATTTAAATTATTGCTGCCTATATTCTTATTTTTATAAATAATTATTATTATTTATAAGAATAATAATTATTTCTATACCATCTAAATTACAGCAGGATGCATCCACAGTAAAAGCACTGGTGAGTAAAATATCTTAAGGTTTTTGTTTGTACCTGGTTTCCAGCTTGTTCACAGAAGAGTGTGAAATAAAGGCCTGACAGCGACTCAACAAGGAGACACAGCAGCATCCGTTTAATTTCTCCACCGAATGACGAACGACGTGTGGTCGACATCTGACAGAAACACAGAGGAACGCTTTTATTCTAGAAAAGTTTTAAATGCAGTGGTAAACTGCTCTGAACTATGGAGTTCATTTAGTTCCAACACTGTTGCAAAGGACTTGTTTTGTAAATGAAAATAAATAAAATAATAAATAAAAACTTCTCTTTCTGATTGAGTTTTAGGAATTTCATTCTTTTCAAATTGTCTTTTACAGATCAGTAAAAAGTCTGCTGGAGGTTAACATTTTTATTGAAGTGAAGAGAATGTGATCTGTAAAATACAAGTCAGTAAGAAAAACATCCCCAAAGCATGATGCTACCACTCCCATGCTTCACAGTAGGGGTGGTGTTTTATAGGATGATAGTCATCATTGTTCTTCCTCCAAACACAGATAGTGGAATCATAACCAAAAAGTTCTATTTTGGTCTAATCTGACCACATGACTTTCTCCTCTGAATCCTCTGGATCATCCAGCTGGTCATTGGCAAACTGAAGAAGGACCTTGACATGTGCTGGTTTAAGCAGGGGAACCTTCCGTCTTACTGTGTTACCAACAGTAACCTTGGAAACGGTGGTCCCAGCTCTTTTCAGGTCATTGACCAGCTCCTCTTCTTCTATTTTCTAATAATTGCTCCAACATGCAGCTTTTTTTCACCAAGCTGCTTGGCAATTTCCCTATAGCCTTTTCCAGCCTTATGGAGCTGTACAATTTTGTCTCTAGTGTGTTTGGACAGCTCTTTGGCCTTGGCCATGTTAGTAGATTGATTCTTACTGGTTGTATGGGGTGGACAGGTGACTTTATGCAGCTGACGACCTCAAACAGGTGAATCTAATTTAGGATAATGAATGGAGTGGAGGTGGACATTTTAAAGACAGACTAACAGGTCTTTGAGGGTCAGGATTCTAGCTGATAGACAGGTGTTTAAATACTTATTTTCCTCTCTGTATAAAAGATGGGAAAAATATGACAACATAAAAAATTAAGAAATGAGAGAAAACAATTAAAAAAAAAAAATAAATCAAAATTTTTCAAAGTTTCATTTTTTTCTACTTCAAATTACAGTTTTTAAAGCATGTTTTTTGTTTGTAACAATGGAACTAAATTCACTCCAAACTGGAGGGTGGCAGCCTAGTGGTTGATCCTGAGGTTCTAAATTGGAGCCTCACTCCCTCAGACTGCCGCTCCCTGAGCAAAGACCCTTAACCCCACACTGCTCCCCAGGCGCCGCACAATGGCAGCCCACTGCTCCCCAAGGACATGGGTTAAATGCAGAGTGTGAACTTTCTCCAATGTGAGTTAATACATTTCAATCATTATAAACTTATTAACTGAACATATTTAAAGTCTGCAGAAATGTGCAAATGAGCTTATACAAGAGAGCGATTCAAGTGTTAATGATTAAAATGAGTAGGTTTATAACCGACTCTCCTTCATACTCTTTACTGTTATAGATAATTAAGATCCTCAGAAATAAAAATGTACAGTATAGAGTTTGTAAGAACAACAGACAGCAAAGAAAAACATCTAGAGTAATTTTTTCTTCTTTGTTTTTAGACCTACCTGAGTAAAAACAGAAGGAGAGAAAGCAGACAAACACAGATCAGGGTTGAGACTGTCTGCAGCTGTAGAGCCCCAGCAGGGCTTCATGCCCGAGAGAGGGAAGCAACATGTCTCTGTCCCACGTCCCCCATGAACAGACATTGATGTCCAGAACAGAGGAAGCCTGAAGCACAGATGGAGTTAAAGTAGTTCAATGAAGGAAGCCCTTTTAAGGTATAATATTTATACACGTATGTAGTGCAATTCTCATTGCACAAAAATTTACTTTCAAAAATAAATTCTGTGAACCAGACCAGTAGTTGAGGAGGGGCTCCATAAGAAGGGGCTGAACTGAGCGCAGCTTCTCCTCTGTCCAGCAGGGGGAGGTAGTCAGTCCCAATGTGGAGAGCTGCACCACATTCAGGCGTCTGCTGCTGTGCAGATACCAACTCCTCATTACAGCCAAATACCTGGAAACAAACATTACATTTGTCTTTTTTTTTTACATTTTATTTCAAAAGGTTTGCTTTGACAGAGATAAAAGCTATTTAAATCAGCTCCAAGTGTTAATGCAGCATTGTTTACCTGTCTTTTCGCTCTGTCTGCTGAATCGCTCTCAGTCTCTCTACATCCATCCACAAATTTAGGAGCTTCTCTGCTGGTCTTCCTTGCAGAAACACCTTGAAGTCATCTAAGCCTGCTCTATTTCCACAGTTACAGCACCAAACCCGAGCACCTGTTTGGGTCGTGTCTCTCCTCCCCCTGTCAACTCCTGCTCCATCTATATTTGCTGTTTGTTGGTTTTCTTCTTCATCTCTCCTGAAGACGTTTGACGTTTGACTGTCAGCCTGGTTCTTCAGCAGTTTCTCATCTGCTCTGTGCTTTTCTAATGGACCTGCTGACAGGACAGATAAGGACAAAGAGGAATAAGAAACTGAAGCTCCTTTTATTCCCAATCATTTGATTCTGGTAAAAAAAAAATTAAAAAAAAAAATGTATTCTATCAAATCATTAAAAGACATCCTGAGCATAGCTCAGTAGTAGATTCCAGACCCACCTGGTTTAGCTGATTTGTCCTCCAGATAATATGGGCATCTAAGACCCTCAAGAACATTTCTATTGAACCAGTTACTGCAGAAGTTTTGATTCCACTGTAACAAGAGCTTAGAAAGTCTGGAGGAAAAAAAAAAAGGATGGTTCAGCTGGAACAGAAACTAATCACATGCTCTGCTTGCCTGGTTTGGAAACTAACCAACAGTTACTGTTTAATGTGTTTAATGAGTAGAGAGGCGTTTATTCTGTGTGCAGCCAGAAACAACTTCAGGGTTTAGTCGTAACAGTATTGAAACAAGCCTCAAATATTAAATAAAACAGTAAAAAATACTAATTATGTCTTCAATAGTAAATGCCTGACAGGTTTAATAAAGGGACACCTGTCACCTGCCATGTTTTTTAGTGAGATTCAAAAGCAAAACAAAAGCATAACACCTGTTAAGAGTCAATAAAGAAAATAACGGCAAATCTCAGTGCAGGTTTTAAGCCAAAAGCAACATCAGAGGCCAAATAGAGGTTTGTAAAAATACATGGAGACACCTATCCTGCCTTTGACCTTTTGAGCCAGCCATAATCAGGGATATGTGTTCATCATCCTTTAAAGTGTATGAAAACAATGTCTATTTGTGCCGTTTATTACCTGTATTCATGGTAGAAATCACTCCGAAGGAAAAAGGGAAATCTTTTCTCTTTAATCCACTGAATGCCTTGCTCTCTATCGAGGCACTGCAAAGGAGCAGACATTCCTCAGATGATTTCTGTCTAATATCTACGGAAGAAGATTAGGGCCACTGGATTTCAGTTTAATATGGGGAAAAAAGTCAGAATTCTGACTTT